GGGCTCTAAGCTTAAGTTAGGAATCCAGACTGTTATTTATCCTTTGGACACCCAAAATGTAATATGCCCACCACACTGAATTTCAAGCCACTTGATCATTGATGAATTTTTAAAAAGCGAACAAGCTGTTATTTCCTATGTGGACAGACACAGATAAGTCACATTTGACCTAGAAAATACAGACTCTGTGTGTGTGTGTGTGTGTGTGTGTGTGTGTGTGTGTGTGTATGTATCTACCTTTTTTGTTTTGTTTTGTTTGTTTTTTGAGACAGGGTTTCTCTGTGTAGTTTTGGTGCCTGTCCTGGATCTCGCTCTGCAGACCACGCTGGCCTCAAACTCAGAGATCCACCTGGCTCTGTGAGTGCTGGGGTTAAAGGTGTGCGCCACCCCCCCACCCCCGCTTAGACTATTTTTTTTAGTTGCTGTTGGTCTCACTCTATAATGTAAGTTGGCCAGGAACTCACTATGCAGCCTAGCCTGGCCTCAAACTCTAGGCAATTCTCCTGCCTCAGCCTCTTAAATGCTGGGGTTACCAGGTGTGAGCCACCACATCCAGCTGGACTTTTCAAAGCACTACCTTAGCTCAAATCAAGACACAGCATCAGGCTTTTTAATTACTATTTTTTCAGCTACCAATCATACTTAAGAGATTCAAACTGGGGGCTGGAGAGATGGTTCAGTGGTTAAGAGCACTGGCTGCTCTTCCAGAGGACCTAGGTTCAACTCCCAGCATCTACATAGCAGCTCACAACTGTCTGTAATTCCAGTTCCAGGGGATTTAACACCCTCACACAGATATGCAGGCAAAACATCAATGCATATAAAAATTTTTAAAAAATCATTTAAAAAAAAAGATTCAAACTGGATTCCAACAAGTCCCTAAAATATTTTCAAACCACACTCCATACAAAAATATCAGGTACCCATACAAAACCCAGAACAGCTAAAAGGCTAAGTAACAATACTATCATTTATGGTCTGCTGAAAAGGACAAAGCACTCAGGAATTGGTATAAATCCATACAATACTAGATACCTATGAGATAGGTGGCACCATCTCCTTTGACATGTAAAGAATAACTTACTGAGGGCCACACAGCTAGCTATCCATGGCAGAGCTGGATCTACCTCAATATTGTGTGCAGAGATCACAGGTCAACTTTCTGAGTGTCAATCCTCAGGAGCTCTCCTTGGGGGTTATTTTTTTTTTTTTTTTTTTGTATTTGAGACAGATCTTTCTCAAAGACCAGCCCCAGAGCCCCAGGCATTCTCCTGTGTCCCCATTCCAGAACTGGGATTATATATGCACAAAACATCTGGCTTTTCATGTGGGTGCTGAGGACCAAACACAGATCCTTATGCATGCATACATAGTAACCATTTAACCAAAGTAGCTATCTCCTGAGCCCATAAAATTAATCTCAAAAGTTGTTGACATTTATTTCTTTTGTGTGCACATGGAAGTCAGAAGACAACTGAGGGAATTGGTTCTCTCCTTCACCGTGTGGGTATCAGGGTCGAACCTAGGATATCAGGTTTGGTGGTAAGCACCTTTACCAGCTAAGCCATTTCACCAGCCCCTCTACATTAATTCTAAAGTTAATGTTTTCTCAATGTAGCAACCTTTTTTAAAGATAAGCTGTTAACTGTGTTGACGAATCATGTAAGGTTACTGCAGTAGTTATAGTACACTCTGAAAACACATTAACTATCAAACGAGCTTTAATGTAAGGCTCTCCCCAGGAAGACAGAGTAACAGACCAGCCTCATAGCTACTTTAATTTGGCTTTTCATCTGTTTGTCAAGGCCATTCAGAAATAACTCCTCTAGCTGAGTCTTTTAAGGAAAACAATGAAATAAACAACCAGAACAGGAAAACTTACATAATCAAGAACTGGCCAGAACTTGAAGGGAAAAAAGTTTACCTACAATCTGCCAGAATAGCTTGTTTTTGTGAGGCCATCACTCACTTTCATCTCATTACAAGAATCAGAAACATGTAACTGCCTCTCAGAAAGCAGCCTTATAAGTCGCTTTTAGCAGACATATCACAGAACAGAAAAGGACTTCAAATCCATATCTCTTCCTTTAACATTCTCCTTAGGAAAATCCCAAGTCTACCTCCAACTGTTTCTCATTATGAAATGCAGATCTACTAGAGCCCTTTTCATGTAGTGAAGACAGGTCTAACGTTAAAGAGTCATTATGTAACTATATTCTCCTGGCCCCTAGCTAGTGCAAATTCTCATCTCCTTAGGTAAATGTATAAAGCAGGGATTTTTTTTTCTTTTCTTTTCTTTCTTTCTTTTCTTTTCTTTTTTTTTTTTTTTGAGGCAGAGTCTTGCTATGTAGCTCTGGCTATCTTGAAACTCACTATGTAAACCAAAACCAGACTGTCCTCAAACTCACATGGATCAGCCTGCCTCTGCCTCCCAAGTGCTGAGATTACCATGAAGTTCTAGTTTCTAGGGTTCCTTCCTCACTGACACAATTGCTTTTGCCTGATGCCATCCATAGAGTGGGGAGCACAATTCCTACAGGACACAGGAACTTAGCTTCTCTCTACTTACAGAGGGAGACCTTCCCTTTTCCTTCTCCCAGACAAAATACAAACCCAAAATACTACAAAGTGTATGAGAAGTAACAATAAAAGATGGTATGGTTACAGTTACAATCTAGGAAAACAGAACCTAGGGTGGCTTTCTGTGGAGTACTTGATGAATGTCCTCCCTAGTATAAAGTGAGGGTTGAAAAACTAGACTTTTCAGCAGCTTTCATCTGATATATACCAGCAATATCACCCTATGAAAGAACAGTATCGTATACGCCTTTAAGTACAGATGAAATGCTAGATTAAACACATAATAGGATGCATGTACAAAAAAGTAAGGTGGTCATAGAATACATGTTGTTCTACAAGTCAAATCTATCATTACCCAGAGTCAAAGACATGGGTGCGACTCCTGATTTCAGCACTTAATTCTGTCCTTGGAAAAATTTAATTTCTGCACCTCAGTTTCCTCATCTATACAATGAGGCGAACAGTACTTACCTTTCATTGGCTGAAGACTAAATAATTAGTGCTTGAAGTGTTTACAAGGAAGCCTGGCACATACAAAGTGCTATAAGTGGTGACTAGTGTGATCATAGACTATTTACCTGAGGATACCTCAGTAGCTAGTGATTAAGTCACAACGGGTAGATTCTGTATGTGTCTATGCTATAGGCACGTATGCTATACCTAATCTAAATGTGGACATGTACAGTCAAAAACACGGGTTATAAATTTACAAGTTCAGTTATGCTATGCACTGTACCCTGACTACACATAACATGTACCCTGTGTGCTGGATTTCTCAATGGGCTAGAAGAAAAAACTTTATTTTTTACTACAATGAAATCATGTCTGGCTGGGTGGTGGCGAATGACTTTAATCTCAGCATTTGGGAGGTGGATCTCTATGAGTTCGAGGCTAATCTGGTCTACAGATTTGAGTTCCAGGACAGCCAGGACTGTTACACAGAGAAACCCTGACTTGAAAAACCAACCAACCAACCAAACAAACAAACAAATAAAAAGAAATCATGTCTGAAGAGATAGGCTATTTAAACATTACACTATATATATATAAAAACATCATGGTATATGTCCATTCATATTCAATTGTTTTTTTAATTAATTTTATTTGTATTAAGAAAATCTACAACCCAGAAGCTTATTTTAATTCGGCCTGCCACCACACATCAAAAGCTGTATTAGCAGCCCAGTGCAGAGGTGCACACCTGTAATCCCAGCACCTAAGAGGCCGAGGAAGACCAAAGCAGTGAGCGTGGGGAAGAGGGGCACCGTTATCATATGTAAAGTTATAGGATGTATCGTTTTAATAGCAGTGGACAGAACAAGACTGTGTCTTATCAGAAAGGGAGAAAGAGAACTCAACCACTAAGATACAACAAAACCAAAGGCTTAGACTTAACAACTTACAGTTTACAAAAGGTCGCAGACAACTGTGGAGATAGGGAAGCTAAGAACCAGAGATCAATTAACTTCTGAGGATCACTGTTAGAAAAGAGTACAGGGAAAGAACCGAATCAAATTTACCTAACATCAACTTCAGTGCTGTTTTTGGATCCACGGCCAAGTGGGAAAAATGCACTTTTTGCAGCAGCCCAAATCTCTGGAGACTCTGCCTAGGGAACAAGCATCAAGGGAATGTGCTCGGCCTGGTTTCACACAGGCTGCCTCCCTGAGCCATACAGCTCCAAGTCTAAAATGGCTTCAACATAAGACAAGCACTGCATGATGGGAAATGTACAGAAGATAACAGGGTAAGAGCCATACTCCAGGGGCTGACAGTCCATAAATAAAGCCACAGATGAAAGAGGCTATTCAATCTGAAAGTAGGTGTGTGGTTTAGGCCAAATCACCTCATTTCTCATAAAGATTTCATCTGTAAGATGGGTGAATGGTTTCTTATCTTGTTTGAAGGCAGAGGCTAGGAAAATAATTTAGCAGCTGGTACTGGATTTTTCAGTCCTCCATTTCTAAGGTCATGCTTAAAATTCTGACTTGGGTGGGGAAGGAAAAAAAAAACAATATTCTCCAGCTGTATGCTGCTAAGGACATTTGAGCTATAAAGCACACACACACACACACACACACACACACACACACACACACACACACACATCGAACAACCCTAAAAAATCAGGTTTGCTGGGTGGAGGCAGTCAAGAAGAAACCCACCAAGAACCAAATATTTGTATAAATTCCCAGTAACTAAATGTAAAGCGCTCAGTAACCACGCGTTCAGTCCTATAAACTGTATGTATGCATGGTTTCACAGAAACACCTGAGACACAGTGAGAAATGTAATTTTCATATTCTCCTAAGTGTTGCACCTTTCGGCACTGGCTCTCGTGATATTACAGACTCCTAACATCTTGCAGATTCCACCTCCCACATCAGACAAGTGAAATCAAGAGTCGAATGCTATCTCACCAGAGAGAATGTACTGAAGGCAAGGACAAGACTTATTCTTACAGAGAGGTTGGCAAATTCTCATCAACGCTGACACCTTTGGAATCCTCCCTGCACGCAAGTTCTCCATTTGCAATAGATCCAGATGCGCTCATCTTGGAAAGAAAAAGGGTCTACATTTCGCCCACTCGATCCCCACCAACAGACTTCAAACAGTGTTTGAAAAAAAAAAGTGTATGGAGGAATTTGGGGCGCAGACACACGAGATTATGGCAGTAAATGACGACAAATATCTTAAGAAGCCTCAATTCTCAGCCTGATCTTCCCCCACCCCACTGGGAATCCGGTTTGAGTCAGTAAAAACGATTCCGACAAATCCATTTCTTGATTCAAACCTCAACCCTGCTGTCAGAGAATCTCGGGTCCAGCAGGGTTTCCCACACCAGCGATGATGAAACAGCTTTACTGCAAAGTGGGAGAGGGATTCGCCCCAGCTGTCGCCAAGGTTAAACCCTTACTCATCCAGGGAGTGCAGCAGGGGCGTCGCGGTTTGGGGAACTCGCTCGCCTTCCCCTACATTTCAATTTTTGAAAGCCACAAAGGAGCGAGGCTGACAGGCCGAGGGATGGCTCCGGGCCCGAGGGGAGCAGGCAGGGGCGGCGCCGAGCAGAGGAGGTGCCGAGGGGAGTCCGCGGCCCGGCCGTACCCAGCCGCACCCCGTATGGCCCGCCGAGGGAGAAGCCCGGTGCTTCCCGCGGAGGCACAGGCCCGGCCGGAAGCGGGGAGGGGCGGTGGCGGGACGGGCCGCGGCCGCCGCCCGAGAAGGGGCTTCGCGCTGGGGCCCTTGGGAGCCGCGCTGCACTCACCGTGGAGGACGGTGGGGAGCAAAGGCGCTTCCGGGAAGCTCGGAGGGCGGCGACTACGTCTTTCCCAGGCCCACTCCTGAGGCGGTGGTGGCGGCAGCGGCGGTGGCGGCGACCGTAGCTGCAGTGGCGGCGGCAGCAGCTACCGGGCTCCGGAATCGGCGGCGGCGGCGGCGGCGGCGGCAGCGGTGGTGGCGGCAGCTGCACTTCCGCTCCGGCCACCACTTCCGCTCTAGCCCAGGTCCCGCCCCACCCTGCGTCAGCTCCTGATTGGGTGAGAGAGGCACGGGGTTGCCCCGTCCTCCCGAAAAGGGCGGTGATAGCCCGAAGGAGGGGAAGTCACGGACGGCCTAGAGGGAGCGGTCGTGGGAGGGCGTAGGGCCTGGGTGGGAGCGAAGGGGGGGAGGACGCAGGGAAAGGAAGTGGGGTGGAGGAGCAGGAAGAGGAGGAAGAAGAGAGGGCGGAGCTGAGGTGACCGCCCCAGGGCTGGGATGTGTGAGAACAGGGCGGGCTCCGGGAGGGAGGGTTCAGAAGCTTGGAGCGTTCGTGGTCCAGGTTCGGGTCGTTTGTTCCCACCCCACCCTGAAAATAATCCTCCCGGGATCCGAGGCCCTAGCAGTCCTATTAGCTGTGCGCTAAGGGAATTCTTGTAACCAAGGAGAACAGAAAGGGCTCAGCTCTACATTTTCAGTTAATTCATATTTCAGTCCTAAAAGGTACATACTGTTCCTTTCCTAGACTGAGGAAGCTACACGAAGTGTCAGGAACAGAACACCCTAAAGGTCTTTAAAAACAACAACAACAACAAAACAACCTGTGTACATCCGTTCTTCGTTGAGATTCCCTGATCCCCAGTATCATTTATAGGAAAGCCTCAAAGACAGAACTCCAGGCTTCACTGATGGTTTTCACCATTACCTGAAATTTATTAATTCTCCACTTAAGCCTGTTGACCCTTAAACCTAGCCCTTCAAAAATACCTCTATCACCACTCCTTCACTTTACACGAATTCTGTGTGGCAGCTTTCTGAATGCTAGAGAATACAGCAAGAGACAAGACAGACGGTCGTCCTGCTGTCTTGAAGCTTACAGTCTCTAGGAGAAAGAACAAATAGACCCTTTTCATTTCTCCCTTACTTAACTTAATGATAGACTTCTAATACTTGACCCTGAGCCCTGCCTCCACTAAGTGATCTTTTTTCAATGCCATTGTAAGTGTAACAATCAGAGCTCTCCAGAAGCTGTCCTTCCGGATCGTCAGCACCCCAATTCATTTATGTAACTCCCTATTATTCCAATATACTGTTCCAGTATTTATAAACAGTTTGAGATAGTTGCTGTCTTAGGGTTTCTATTGTTTTGATGAAACACCATGACCAAAGCAACCTGGGGGGGAAAGGGTTTATTTGGCTTACTCTTCCAAATCACTGTTCATCATCACAGGAAGTCAGGACAGGAACTCAGACAAGGCAGGGACATGAAGGCAGGAACTGATGCAGAGGCCATGGAGGGGTACTGCTACTGGCTGGCTCAGCCTGCTTTCTTACAGAATCCAGGACCATCAGCCCAGGGATGGTTCCATCCACAATGGGTTGGGCCCTCCCATCAATCACTAAGTAAGAAAATGTGCTATAGGCTTACTTACAGTCTCATCTAATGGAGGCATTTTCCCAATGAGGCTCCCTTCTTTCAGATGACTCTAGCTTGTGTCAAGTTGACATAATACTATCCAGTACATTTGCTGGCATTTTTCTTTTGTGTGTGTGTGTGTGTGTGTGTGTGCGCGCGCGCGCGTGTGTGCGTGTGCATGTGCGTGTGTGTGTGTGTGTGTGTGTGTGTGTGTGTGTGTGTGTGTAGGCGTCAGGAATCATCCTCCATCATTTTCTACCTTTTTCATTGAGGCAAGGTTTTTCTATCAAACCCAGAACTCACCAATAAGGGCATTCTCCCAGACCAGTTGTTTCTAGGAATCTCCAGCCTCTGCATTCCAAGGTGGGAATTAGGTGTGAGAGGTCATGTCCCACCTGGCATTTATGTGTTGTTTGGGATGCAGAATCCAGTCTTCACACTCATGTGGCAAGTGCTGTAAGCACTAAGCCACCTGTCCAGCACAGCTGTTGCCCTTCTTGTCTCATATAACTCTCCATCTTAAGGGAGAACTTGAATTTCTGATCCTCCTGTCTCCAGATCCTGAAAGTTGGGATTACAGGGGTGTGCTACAATACTAGTTTATAGGGTTCTGAGGATCAAAGCCAAGACATCATTCAGGATAGGCAAGGGCCCTACCAACTATATTCCCAGTCTAGCTGCCAATTTAAAAAAACATCAGATTTTTATGGACAGAAAATTGCATCTCTGCCTTGTCTGCAATACTGTCCATATTTCTGTACGGGAGCTGAGACCACAGTCTTTACTTTAGATTGGGTATCTATGCACAAACTTTCCAGGGTGTGAGGGCCCTCTCCCAGTCTGTGGGCCGTTTTTCCTGACATCATCTGTTGTACAGACATTTGTTCTTAAGGCTCAGACTGCATCACATGTCCTGAACCAAACACAGCAACTTTTAACTTGAACAAGATTAAGAGTGTGTTGTGTAATGTTAAAAAATGGATTTTAATCAAAACCACAGAACTAGAATACTGGAAGGGTTTCTTAATACCACAAGTACTCCATGGGGATTTGTCTTTGGTAGACCAAAGACCAGTCACTAATCCAGAGTTTGTTGAGATTGCAGTAGCTTTAATGTGACAGCGCTGTCTTATGCCCCCATCTTGAAAGTGGCCTAATGGGTTAGAGGCTTTTAATGACTACACCACAGGTTACATCATCTGTACATGGAGTGAACAGAAATGCTCTTTGTCAGGCCTCCCCTGGTGCCTGCTAACGGGTGGCATGGATGCAATCCTTTCACCATCTCTGCATTCTAGGCCAGGGGTCAGCAAGCCACAGCTAGCAACTGACAGACGCAAAGGTGAAATATGATGTGTATTCCAGTTTGCTCCTCTTTTGCTGGGATAAAACACCATGACCAAAACAACTTGGGGAGGAATGGGTTTCCCGGGCTTACACATCCACATTATAGTCCATTGTTGAAGGAAGCCAAGACAGAACGAAACCTGGAGGGAGACACCGGAAGCAGACACCATGGAGGAATACTGCTTACTGGCTTCCTTTGCATGGCTTGTTCAGCCGTGAACCACCTGCCCAGGGGTGGCACCGCCCACAGTGAGCTGGACCCTTCCACATCAATCATTAATCAAGAAAATGCCCCCTAGACATGCCCACAGGGATAATATGATGCAGGTGATCCCTTAATTGAGGTTCTGTCATCCTAGGTGACTCTAGTGTATGTCAAGTTGACACCAACTAAGCAGCACAGTGTGGTACAGGACTAAGCAAATGGGCCAGTGATTATGGGGACTTGGGGAGGACATATAACCATCTTGTGAAGAGAGAATGGAAAGTACGTAATTCCAGTATCTCCCTATTCCTAATGTACCTTCTTCTTGTTGATACATTTGTGACATTTGGTGAGCCAGTATTGATACATTATCTTTAACTGGCACCTAGAGTTTTGTATCCAATTACATTCTTTGTATTTTAGAGTCCCATAGAGCTTGAAGAGCAGGACAGGCAATGTATCTACGACTATCTTCCAAAAAATTTACTGCCCTAACAATCCCCGTGCTTCGTTTATCCACCCCCTACTTCCATACCCCCAACTTTGGGCAACTACTGACATTTTATACTCTTTATAGTTTTGCCTTTTCTAGAGAGAGTTGGTTCATGCAGTAGGTAGCATTTTCCGACTGGCATCTTTCATGAAGTGATACTGTTTAAAATTTCTTCATGTCTTTTTATAGCTTGATAGCTTATTTCTTTTTATCATCGAATAATATTCCATTGTACGAGTATGCCACATATTGTTTATCAGTTAACCTTTTTTTTTTTTTAAGACAAGACCTCTCACCCTATAGCCCTATAGCTGTTCCCTTGCCTCAGTCTTCCAAATAATGGGATTACAGGTGTGAAACATCACACCTAGCTCCCATAACTCATGTCTTCAGAATTGACTTGTGTCTTCCATAAAGATTTGTTGAAATTGAGATCTTAGATACCTGCAAATATCACCATATTTGGGAATTATATCTCTTTGAAGATATAATCAAATTATGAGGCGGTCATCAGAGTAGGTTCCTAATTCACCAGGACAGGTCTTTGTAAAAGGAACATGTCGCATGGAGACAGAAGCACACAAAGAGAGCACTATGTGACAGAGAGGCAGGGAGTAGACTGACGTGGTTACAAGCCAAAGAGCACCAAGGAGCAGCAGCAACAGTAGAATCTAGAGAGGCCTGGGAGGAGTCTGCCCAGAGTCAGAGAGAGAATACGGCCCTGTAGATCCCTTATTTCAGACTTGTAGACTGAGTTGTGAGCTAATACATGTCTGTGTATCAAAGCCACTTCATTGATAGCACTGTGTTGACTAACAGAAGCACTGAGGGAGCTCTTGATCAGCCTTTGACAATTACGACTAACGCCGCTGTGGGCGCTTACATGCAGGTTTATGTGGACATCGGTTTTCAGTTCAGCTAAGTAAAGATGTAGGAGCAAGAGTATTAGGCTGTATATTAAAACTGTGTCTAGCCAGGCAGCAGTGGCACACACCTTTAATCCTAGCACTTGGAGGCAGAGGCAGGTGGATCTCTATGAGTTCAAGGCTAGCCTAGTCTACAGAGCTAGTTCCAGGACAGCCCGAGCTACACAGAGAAACCTTGTCTTTTTTTTTTTTTTTAAAGATTTTATTTATTATGTATACAGTGTTCTGCCTGCACGTATCCCTGCAGGTCAGA